CCTTGTTGCCTCCAAAAATGACAGCAGCTCCGCACAAACACAAGAGCAGCAGGATAGATACTCTTTTGTTTCTTTCAGATGTGTACACATTTAGTTAAAGCAGAACACCCTCTACTCTATTCTAATAACAGCTTTCTTGGCGCCATCTTAAGCAAATTTACCTGAAGATCTTTTTTTGTACAAGCTGTACTTTATGATACAATTATGTATGCTGTAGTAAGTCTGTTGGGGGGGGAAGAGAGAGGAGTACTGTTAAACTGCAACTATTTTGATTATTATAATTTTTCACTTGTAATTTAGCAAAAACCCCAAACCTTCTAATTCCAGCTTCTCACTTGTGAAGATTCTCTGCTGCTTTTATTTGCCATATATGATAGGAAACTGAATAAATGTGGGTTGATTTAGCAAAACAAACAAGTTATGTCCCCTCTGGCTTTTGTCAAGGACTTTTTCAAGAATATAGTCGATTTAATATTAGGGCAACTTACATTTAAACAATTGTAAGTTGCCCTAAACTCTTTGAATTAATGACTTCAGAAGTTTGGTCAAATCTTCTTGATAAATGATTTCAATTTTTGAAGAGAATTCCTTTTTTGTCACAGAACATTTTCTGCAACAACTTCTTCCAAAATCTTTATTCCCCTTATTTTCTGTAAGAGTGAGCCATAATTCAACTCAGCTGCACATTATTCTATTGATGGGGCTCATTTGAGATGCATCACTTAAGCAATCTGTGTGTTGTGACGCTCCTGTGTGTTCGTCCTGTCCTTGTGTGGGAATCGCCTGCAGAAGCATGTTCACGTCCGGCTTGACCTCTACAGCGACGACACAAACCCTGTAGACGCTGTCTGCTGAATGTTTACAGGGGCTGGGACGTGACCTCCGTCTGTCATCTCTCTGCTGGCGCCCTTTTAAACACCTTTTGTGACCACCTATTTTTACCTCGCTCTCAGCCAGACCTGCTTTTATACTGTGGCAAGGGGCTGAACATGTAACCAAAGAACATGGATGTCAATGGCATTTAATTATCGATTCATGGAAGACCTGCAGGTTTGGCTACAGAACGTGGAAGCAAGGTGAAAAGGCTTGGGCAAATTCGAACCGGATACTTTCCCCATGGTTTTATATTTTAAGCAGCCATATTAATGTATGGTTGTCTGTCCATGAGGTATCAGTAGGAGTTTAGCGTACTGTATTGGCATCAGTTGGTTTTCAGTCACCTTTCGAGGGCACAGCTGACATATCCTGCAATTGATTGTGCCTTTGCTTGAGGGCCGTCGGCTTTTCAACACGTTTCAGTCAGCACATAAACCTGTCAGAAATGAAATGAGCTAACGCCGCCATCGACCGTTAATGTTGCAGCAAAATTCCAATGTCAGGTGTTCTTCAGTTTCTCGTCGTACTTCGCAAACGCATTACTCTCTCTTTGTCTATGACTATTTTGTCCTCTAATCAGTAGCATTAAGTCATTTACTGTGTCATAAAGGCAGTCTAAGTGCTAAATTGAGATGCCAAAGCTCATACAAATCCCCTAAGATTTACTTGTGTCCCACCACTACTGAGCAAAAGGCCTTGACTCAAAGGAACTAATGCTATTTCTGGCGGAGATGTGTTGGAGGACATATGAAGGTACAAAATGTACTAAATTTCCATATATGTAATTGACTGTAATCTGGGAGGCATGCAGTTGATTAGGTGGGATTGGACTAGATATGTGTAGTGTTTGGTTTGATTTGCTTGTGCAATGTTCCAAATGCAGCACTGATTCAGTCATGTGTGCACACCATTTGTGTATCAGAGAAACAGGCAGTGGGGAGGTGGGACAGATGCAGTGAGAAGTCTCAGGTGAGCAATGTTCCACTTCACAACTCCATATGCGACTAGGGCCCAAATCTTGCCTTTTTATTCTCAGTTGTAACTGCATTGTCTGCCAGCTCAGACTATAGCATTTGTTCTTGCATATTTTTTGTGTTACTGCTCTGCTTGAGTTGGTAAGTCGGAAAATCCCTCCCGTCTATTTTCTTTTTTAGTCTAAATGTGTCTGCATGGCTCTAGGGATGGCAAAGTTGGTTGAAATTCATCTATTTGTAGTGCACAAAGGATGAATTGACTGTCGCGGTAGTGTCAGCACTGTTGACAAGTATTCATTGCTATTTAAATTTGGCATATTCAGTTATGTCCCTCTCATGACTAGTTTGGTGATCCGCTTTAATTTGGTGCCATCATTGGGTAAAATACTTTGGCTTATGACCAAACCAATGAATGACAGCCACAATTTGACTCTTAATTGGCAAATGTTAGTATGCTAACGCACTTAACGAAGATGATAAACATGGTCAAAAACACAAGATATTTTGACTTCAGCACAGGTGTAGGTAGCTAAATGAATGATGGCTGAAATCCACTTTGGCTCATGAGTTTGGTTTCCTAGTAAGGCATACTGGCTCTCACTTTAATACAAGAAAGCCGTTGTTAGTGTTGTTAGTAACAGCTGTGCTTTTCCTACTTTGGCACGTCCAAATTTCCGCATTGAGAAAGGGCCTATTGTCGTTGTGTGCACCTTATTTGCATTCTCTTATCAAGGTGATGTACAGAAAGTAAAAAAGCACAGCCCTATATACTGTACAGATGGCCAGGCAGCAAAGGATGCTACAAACCCAGACACTTCAAAATAAAAGTACACAACAAAATAAAAAAAATATGTGTGAGTTGAACTCTGGGTGAATATAAAAAATATATTAAAACTGTGAAAATATCCACTAAACTACAAAACTCTGACAACTGTATCTGTAAAACACTGCTAAAATATTCATTGATTGTGACATGCTGACATTAGCATTTAGCGCAAAGCACCACTACGTCTAAGTATAGGCTAAATGAGCCGCTAGCATGACTGTAGACGTCCTCTTCATACATCCATGCTGTAGACTCTTTGTCTAGTTTTTTTTCTTCAGTTGGATAGTTTATTCTCTCTGTAGTATAAGGCTAACTGTAGCTTAGAGCTAGCTTGTGTAAGTGTTATGCTAGTTTTGTGGCAGGCCTTTTACAAGCAGGGGTTAAATTGGGCCGGGGCTGTCCGGGGCTCATAGGACGATGCTCTGACGTCATCACCCTCGCTCATTTGTCATTTGTTTAAGCCATGTGTTAAAACATCTCATCTTCAATCTGGTGCACACATTACTAGATCTAGGGGGTACAACTCCAAACACCCATATGAAAAAGATCGGTTTACATTTTAATAACCAAATAAGTATGTGAACATAACCAATAACTTATCACAGCCAATAACAAATCAATGTAACTTATTTTATTTGTGTTGTTCATTCATATCTTATTTTACCTAGTTAACATTATTTATGCATATTTTTTTTAAACAATATTTTTGGTTTACTATCCTATAGTATACATTGAAATGATTTCAAACCTGTTTATCCCAATAATTATAAAGGAGTGCCTTGGAAATATTTGTTTACATAACTTGCATTTATCTCTCTCGCTCGCTCCCACGCCCACTTTAGCTGTGAGCTGCGGACGCCTGATAAGCCAACACCCCTGCACTTTCATCGCTTACAGCGCCCACCGTACAGGGCAAATGAAAAGTGTAACCGGGGTGAAAAGGGTATTACATTTACTTAATTATGAATGTTGTTACATCAAGGCCGAAAACTAGGATGAGCGCAAACATTCAAGAATGTTTTTTTCCCTCCCAGAGCTGCCAGCGCAGCACCCCCCAGATCTGGCGCCCTATGCCAAAAACCGGCCCTGAACACCATGCTAAATGTATGTCTGCATAAAGCTGAGTTATGATCGGTCATAATAACACAGAATTTGGTGATGATTAAATAGTTTACAGTGAGATATACTCCCATACTTTTGGCCATACTCACACAGCCCTACAAATGAATTGAGATTTCCACACAAATGTTCTTTAGCAAGTGTGCAGAGCAGTGTTGATTTAAAAAAGCTATTTGAAGGTTTGTATATTTGTAAACCTTTTTTCTTGTATATATATATATTAACAATTTAAGATCTAAATGAATTCCAGTTTATTTGTAGTACTTTCTATTTTTATTGTGACATTTGGTGGCATCAATGTGTGCATTCGATACAGATAATGGAGCAGTTGCTTTAGGGCCACAGTGTATATCCCTTAAGGTAAAATAATGAGATCCTCGACCTCCGCCCCCCTCTCGCACCTCCACACAGAGCCCCCCCAAATATCAAATCCCAACTTAACCCCTGGTTACAAGGACAGACAAGATATGAGCCCACAGCTCCTGCCCAACACAAACAGGGCGGATTTAGCCGCAGATGTCGAAAGACGGCTAGCTTCTGTCTCCAGCCAGGTGCACCGTGATGTGAGCCGTATGCTGGTACAACAATCACACTGTGTTCCAGCTGCACCTCTGGATGATCAGTCCCCAGGATGGGATGGTTTTCCGCCTGCTTGATTTTAATTCTGTATGACTTCAGGCTCTTAATATAGCCAAAGCTTTTACATCAGCTTTTGAAGATGAGATAGGATGGTTGTTGTGTTTTTTTTTTCCTTCCTTTTATTCCTTGAACAGGGTCTAAAGTCATTTGTTGTCGAGTCGTGGGACTGAAGATGATTTACAAAAAGTATGCAGATCCATCTCAGGCCTTTGAAAATTCAAAGCCTCTGATGTTGTCTCAGGTTCCAGTTTTCGTTTTTGGATGATGATCACAGGCTGCTGTTCAATTTGCATTTGACCCCTTCTTGCTGTGGTGCCCTGTTTTGAGGTAAGAATCCAGTGGGAAGAAACAGAACAAGGAGAGCAGTGAGGAGGCTCCCATAGGTACCACGACCAAGAGTTTTTTTGGTTAGCTTGTTTACCCAAAAGGGCACCCCAGGCCTGCTCCTATGAGACTGACACCCACCTTGAAGTTTATTCGATCCCCTCTGGGTGGTTTGGGGACATGTACCTCGCTGTCATACCGCTGATGTGTTGTGACCGTGACATTTCCTTTCTGCTCCTCAGCGGTACACGAGTTCCCCAGTGACCTTTTCACCACTGATGAACGCAGAAAGGGGGCCGTTGCACTTCACATCTTGGCGGTAAGAAAAGTTGTATGTTTTATTTTCTTGTTATAAAGCTGCTGCTTCTCACAGAGCTCAGGTGGATTCAAGGTATCAGTTTCTTAGCAATATTGTAAAGATCATTTTTAATGTTCAAATGATGCACACATGAGAAAGATTTAAGAAAAGTGGGTATTTGTTTTAATACTTCTTGGAGCGTTGGGGTTAATTCTTGTCCTTGGTATAATGCATATGTGCTCTTGGAATAGCTCGGTAAGTGCATTTAGAATTTGTATTCACATATTCCCTTAATGTGTCTTGAATTGATCTAGCCAAGGCACAACTACATTTAATAGGGCTTGGTATAAAGTAAGCAAAAAAGGCCCACATAAAGGGTAAAATATGAAGCACTAGATTAAAATCAGTTGATTAAATAAGTCTTTATGTTTTGAATGTACATCAGAACAACTAAACTACAAGACTTCATTCATTTCATTTTACAGTTTCGAGGGTCATAAAGTGCTGATGTCTCTCAAAGGAGAGCTTTAACTCATGAGTGTCTGTGTGTGGAAACCATCATAAATATGCTATGTTATAGTATTTTTAGTCAGAGCTCGAATTTAAGAATGATTCATTAAAACAATGCACAGACTCGTATTGAAAACAGTCCCAGAACGGGGGGGTGAAAAGGACAGGCAAATGTCCAATATTTATATTGCATGAGCTGCTTCCCCACGTCGAAAAAAATAAGCTATTACTGTCTACATTCAGCCATGCTAAGCTCCACTGACTTGACATGGAGACACACAGGCGCATCTGGAGTTCAACGGGTTCTTCAGTGTTGTTCAGCAGGAGGTGCTGTTCTTCATGCTGGATTTAACTAAGAAAGGCTCTTAGTCAAATACAACTCGGGGCTGTAGCCAGTATTTTAAAACATGCTGATGTCCTGAGGCTCTCCTAACACAACAAATCCTGCTCAGAAAACTTTGACCAGAAACTAAACAAATTTACATTTCCAAGCATAAAATTAGGTTTCAAAGCCTTTTTCATACTCTGGCAGAAATGCTGAAACTTACAAACATGTATTGTGAATTTTCAAGTCTGTCAAGTCAAAAAAGTATTCACTTTTGCCCCAATGGCTCTGCTGCAACTCAGCGAGGGAACACAGGGAATGTTATACTAAAAACAGTGTAGGGGTGTTGAATATAGCTGAAAACTCATTAGAAATGTAGATGTGCGTGTGTGTGTATATATATATATATGTTTTAAATATATTTTTGCACTCCAAAAAACCACAAATATTCAAAGGACATGCCTCAGTGGTGGCACCAACAATACACTTTATCTTAATAGTTTTTTATTGCATTGAGAATTGTACAAACATTAGTGGGAGGCAGTTGTGAGGTGAGACCTGCAGTACTAATCCTTCCCTTATGTGTAATTATTTCTAAACCTCAATAATTGCCAACATTATCATCATCAGTATTGTTTTTTCTGTTGTGCCCAATTGTGGTTTTAATTTAAGATTGAAGATCTCCTTAGTGAAAGGTGAGGGGGGGAAAGTATTCACAAAATACTGGATGATGGGAGGTAATATACTCTGTTAAAAGTAAAAGTCCTGCATTATAATTGTTTTTTAAATACATTTAAAAGATTAAGGATAACAAAACGACATGTGTAACAGTACTCATTGTGCAGAATGGTCTATTTCAGAATAATTGTGCCTTATGATAATAATTACTGATGCATTAATATGTAGATTGCTTCAGTGTTGCAGCTTGTAAAGGTATGTCATATACTGAGTAGATTAATTTATAAGGGTGCTTCATCAATTATCAGTTGATTTATATTTTGTTCAGAATATTCCAAATCTACAAAGTACCTAGTAGTACCTATTAAATAAATGTAGTGGAGTAAAAGGTGCCATATTTCCCTTTTTGTAATGTTTCGAGGTTATAAAGTAGCATGAAAAGGAACTACTCAAGGAAGGTACAAGTACCTCCTAAAATGTACTTAACTTTAGTGCTTTAGTGAAATGTTTATAGAAACGTTCATAACCAGGAAATAAAGATTTTCCAGACTGATTTTGAAGTGTCCCCATCTCTATGTTCCACACTGAAATATGAGTTCTTACTGCTGAGAGGAGTGAGATGAAGTCTGTGTGGGGGGGGTGTGATCATCCTGCAGTCCTGCACTGCCCCCTGTGGATAGCATAGAGCAGAGCACTGCTGCTGGCTGCCCATAGTGATGTCACAGCTGATCTATCATTTATAGATCTTGCCTCAACTACTGAAATAGGCTGCCTCCCACCCGCATCTATCCTGACATAAATTGTAATAGAAAACTGCCCATCTCTGAATTGACATTTGATTTTAATGCAGGTTTATTTTTAATTGGGTGCTGCGTTTTGAGATTCCCCTTCATCTGTCCTTTAGCTGGAGAACATGGTGCTCTGCCAAGGCTCTATTTACTCAGCTGATTTGGGATGCACACACACACACACACACACACACACACACACACACACACACACACACACACACACACCTCTAATCTAACTCAGCTGATTCTGTCTCTAGGCTCTCTACATGTTTCTCGCCCTCGCCATAGTATGCGACGAATACTTTGTGACAGCGCTGGAGAAAATCTGTGAGGTACTTGGGAGTTTTAAGTCTTTCATCTTTTCAGTCGCACATCGCCGGTTCGTCTGTGAAATACTTTGCTTTATTTCTGCAGAAACTAGATCTGAGTGAAGATGTTGCAGGAGCCACCTTCATGGCAGCTGGCAGCTCTGCACCAGAGCTTTTTGCATCCGTCATTGGTATAGCCACACACACACACACACACACACACACACACACACACACACACACACCAACATTCCCAGATGGTTGGATTCACAGCTGATTCTGATTGGCTGCTGCTTCCTGTGTGCAGGTGTCTTCATCACCCATGGCGATGTGGGGGTGGGGACCATCGTTGGCTCGGCAGTCTTCAACATCCTTTGCATCATTGGTGTCTGCGGCATCTTTGCTGGACAGGTGTGTGTGTGTTTTAGAGGGGCTGACTTCCTGCTCCGGCTGCATCCTGCTGTTTATTTTTAGACCGCAGTACGGCACATGTGTGGCAGAAGTTGTTGTTTTTTTGCTTAGGGGGAACAAAGCCATCTGCTTCGGTTAGCTTTCTCAGAACTGGTTTACGTAGAAATGAAGAATAAACTCTCGGGGCATTCAAGGATCATAACTCTGTGTTTCTTGAAGTAAACTTGTACATATTGTGTGTGTTTGACAGTATCATATAACAACGTGCTTCACAGAACTCTAATACTCACAGATAAATAAAATATCTAAAATGTGACACTGCACTTTTCCCATGTGTTATCAGGTGGTGATCCTGACCTGGTGGGCAGTTTTCAGGGATTCCACCTACTACATCCTGTCTGTTTTGGCTTTAATTGCAGTAAGTTGGACCACATGGATTTATTAATTAAAGGTGGGGTAGGTAAGTTTGAGAAACCGGCTTGAGATACACTTTTTGTTATATTCCATGGAATGCTCTTAACATCCCGATAGCAATGAATATCTGAAGCACGACCAATCATCTGAGCCGGCCCGGCTAAAGTAACTGGATGACCTACCTGCCTGTCAGCCTTCCATCTGTGCACAAACTTATCTCGTGCCCTCATTGGTCATGTGCGCGTTCGTGTGTGTTGGAGGAGGGGCTCTGTAAGGAAGGGGCAGATTTTTTCCGGCTGTGTATTTTCAAATTCTAGCGCACTCGAGCTGGTTTCTCCAAAATTACCTACCCCA